ACAAATTGAAACCAGCAAACCATTCAGGAAAGTTGCCAAAGTACAGAATCTACATTTACGGAATTCATCTCTTAGGCCCGAGAACACAGTTATTTCGTAGTGCATTTCTTTTAGACAATAAATTCAAATTAAAAAAATCGCACCTGCTCTATCTCAAAAAGATTTTTACAGTGTAGTGTACTACTATTGATACAAATAATATCAAAATTATAGAAACTTCTACCAGCTCTAACTCAAAATATTGACAGTTCTGTGTTAAGGGGGGCTAAAATTCAGTTTGACAGCTTCAGACATTCTAATTTTTGACCTTTTTTAACTGGACCAAATCACTACTTAACATAAAGATTCAGCACCCAAATTTTTTTAACATGTAATTTCATCCCCTTACTTAATATTTCATGCATAAAATATCAAGAAATAAATTAGGAAAGTGTATCAAAAAAAAATGCAAGTTATACACTGTTCACACTAGGGACTATATTTGTAGACAACGAAAACCAAAGGACGATAACTGTGTCCTTGGACCTAATATGACAGATCAATTACATTCATCAGTCACACAATTTTTAAAAGATAAAGATATGAAAAGGGAATCAAGTTATCATAAAAATACTTAATTAACTATTTCATCAATCACAGTCTGAAACAAGAGGCAACATCTTTTGGTTCAAAACAAGAGGTCCAAGAGCGTCAATTGCTCACCTTGTAAAAATAGGCATTGCCATCTGTTCTTGTGTTTGCTTATTTGTAAATCATATATATTGAGTCGCATTTTTGAAGATCTTGTATTGATGATCACCACTATCCCAGATTAGGGGGAGGGTTGAGCACTCACAAACATGTTTAACCCCGCTACATTACGATTCCTGTCTCGTCAGGAGCCTGTAGTTCAGTGGTTGTTGTTGGTTCATGTCTGTCATATTTGTTTTTCGTAAATGGTTTTGTTATAAAATAGGTCATTAGTTTTCTTAATTGAACTGTTTCATAATTTTCATGTCAGGGCCTTTTATAGCTGACTATACAGTATGGGTTTTACTAATTGTTGAAGGCAGTACAGTTGCCTATAATTGCTTACATCCACTTCATTTGAACTTTGGTGGATAGTTGTCTCATTGGCAATCAAATTACATCTCCTTATTTTTATATGGTCATACTTTAAAGGTTTTTTTTTAACATTTAAAATTATTTCAAGAATATGGCGTTAAAATTTAATCTCTGTTCAATTTATTGACAGTTTTTTTTTTAGAATCTGGAAGATTTATAGCTTGATTGATTATTGGTGTTTAATGACACTTTCAGCACTCTATAACATGGCAGCCAGTTTTTATTGAAGGAGGAAGCTAAAGTAAATTGAGAGAAACTCAGACCATTGGCAGGAAAACTGATTATCTGGTCATTTAAGATCAGTCTAAAACCTTGACACTCGACCTGACAATTTTAAAGTTGACAGTGGGGCATAAAAAGGTTCAATTAATCATACAGAAATTTTGATTTTAAACCAAGGAGGAATAGTCAACGAATAGTTTACAGTTTTAAGCATAGATATTTAGTATAAAAGTCAATTCATTACTTAATTGCACTTAATAAAGTTTAACTTGTATCATAAAAATTGTTGTATATTAATCATTGTTTCTGATGACAACTTTATTTTTATGTGCCAAATTATGAGGCCACAGACAGTCTGACTTCCAGCAAAGGAAACAGCCACTCTCAAAAGTTTTTAAACATGTTTGTCGCTACAAAAATTCAAATTTCCCCATAAGACAAAAAAAATCAGAAAAGATTGCTTTTAGTGGTCTTCCTAGTCATTAGAACTCTGGTGCATAGTTGTCTTGTTGGAAATCATACCACATCTCCTTACTTTCATATTCATCAATACATTTTCTTTTTTCAATATGTCAAGAAACTATTAAACCAGACGGAGCTGATATTTATCCAATAAAGAGAAACTTGCTGCCATCTTATTGTTTTCTTCATAAAAGTCTGATGAATTACACAATATTGTAATATAACTATCACAGGGTTCATTTATTTTTACCAGCTGAAACTGTATCAAAGAAAGACATGACTCTGAAAAAGCTGTGAAGGTGCTGTAATTTTATAGACATCAATGAACAAATAATTTTCATGTCAATTCAGGACTCTTATAAATGTAATTGATAACAAAAACTCTATTTTTGTTGTCATCAGTGTTAGACCAGAGCTCATTAAATGTGCAAGAATGTATCCTCACATCAAGAGCCATGACCTAGATCTTCTTGAAGAAAATGTTATCAAAAATGTGAAAAGTAATATGAACTTAATTTCACTTCAATATTTGAATTGAATTCATTTCATTTGACAGATACTTTTTTCCTGAAGAATTTTAATAATCAATTATTAGAATTATTTATTACACTTTTAAAAGTATCATATGCAAATTGGTAAAGACTTATGTTTAGAGTTGATGTGGCACGAAAGGGGCAATGTTATTATAGAACTATTTGAAATTCCTTGCAAATTTTTAATGTTATCAACTGAAAATTCATTGACATGATGACAAATGAATAAACAATTGACCAATACTCTAAACATAGTTGATTTAAGTATGCAGTACATTTTGTATGCCTTTGTTAGCAGTTTCTTACCCTTTATAAGGTCATGTGGTTAGCCACATTTGTTTGCAGTGAATAAGTCTCCTTTAAAATCTCCTTTTCCACACTTATCTTATGCTTCGGATTACAACCTTGCTTAAATCACATGACTACACACTCACAATTTCGTTTATTTTATTGAATCTTTAAGTTTTTCCAAAAAAATATTCGTGAAATTCTTAATCCTTAATTTCAAATGCTAGTCATTAATCTGTTTTGTATATTCAGGTCAGGTTTTTCCAACTTCCTTACTAAATTAAATTAAGTTCATTGTGGCTTTTAAACTTGTCTACCACTAACACTGTTTCCCTATATTATCATGATCTGGTAAACCTCACTAAAACTTCTGTACAATCTTATTCTTTAGTGGAATTCGTCACAGTTGGCTGTCTATTACAAATCCATATTGTTTTAGTAAACATGTTTCTTATTCAATAGAACTTTGCAATATGCCTGTGTATGGGGTAGATTTTCAAAAGAAGTTTTGTCAGTCTGATAAAAATTCAACTTCTTCATGAAAAATGTACTAAATTCTTGAGAAAAAAAAAAAAAAATTTTGTGAAAATCCTCGATACTGCCTCTTTTACAAAATAGTTTTAAAGTACAAAATTACAAACTCACTAGACAATATTACATACAAGTAAATATAGAGAACAGAAGAGTCAAATATTACAACAGATTAGAGTCAGAGGGAGAACAGAGGAGTCAAATATTACAACAGATTAGAGTCAGAGGGAGAACAGAGGAGTCAAATATTACAACAGATTAGAGTCCGAGGGAGAGAACAGAAGAGTCAAATATTACAACAGATTAGAGTCAGAGGGAGAACAGAAGAGTCAAATATTACAACAGATTAGAGTCAGAGGGAGAACAGAGGAGTCAAATATTACAACAGGTTAGAGTCAGAGAGAGAAAAGAAGAGTCAAATATTACAACAGATTATGAGTCAGAGAGAGAACAGAGGAGTCAAATATTACAACAGAGTAGAGTCAGGGAGAGAACAGAGGAGTCAAATATTACAACAGATTATGAGTCAGAGAGAGAACAGAGGAGTCAAATATTACAACAGATTATGAGTCAGAGAGAGAACAGAGGAGTCAAATATTACAACAGATTTGAGTCAGAGAGAGAACAGAGGAGTCAAATGTTACAACAGATTAGAGTCAGAGAGAGAACAGAGGAGTCAAATATTACAACAGATAAGAGTCAGAGAGAGAACAGAGGAGTCATATATTACAACAGATTCGAGTCAGAGAGAGAACTAAATTCATATATATGACATTAATTTTGTCATTTGACTGTTAAGTACTAAATAAATACTTACTAAACAGTCAAATGATAAAGCTAACTTCTTACATATAAATTTAGTTCTGTTTATTAGTATATAACAACTAGTTATCTTCTATTTAAAACATCTTTTTATTTTTATATATTGTTTTTTTATGCAGACATTCAGACAGCGTATTCCTATTTAGAAAATGGAACAATTACTTTCCATGAACTGCTTAATTTGCACTAACTTAATGAATATATTTAAAAACTATAATAAAGAGAAATAACTATTTTACACAATGAGATCCAAACTAATTTCCTTCTGACTTCAGATGTCTTAATGTGAAATGAGTGTACTCTAGTTATCCTTATGCTTAAGGTACATTGATTGTTCTTTTATACTTAAAAGTACAACTAAAAGCCAATGAACTCTAAATTATTTTTATATTTCTGATATTGTTTAAAAATAACAAGTTATATGATAGAAAAAAAGAAAGCTATTCACCAAAGACAAATGACTTATATTTTTTGGTTGAAAATAAGATTTTCTATGAAGTTTTTATATTTTCTTTATATGGGTTGTTGTTGATAACTCTACAGATATAACCAAAAGATGATAGGTCTCTTCCAAAGATTGGTTAAAATGTTTTTTGTTAAGTAATAAAGGAGATATTTTTTCCTTCAAATTTTACAAAAACTAAATTTAATCAGGTTAAGAAAGTCTTCCCCTCTCCCTCCCCAATTAGCTTAAATGAAGGTCCCCACTTACATGGAAAAAAGTGATTATTTTATTACTATCATGGAATACAACTGATGTTTCCATAGGACATCATTTCCTGCTAGAATTAGCAAATTTCCATTTCAGTCAACCCTGAAATCTGGGTCAAAACCCTTATTTGGAACATTTTTAGAAAGTTCACCTCATAATGTACATGTGTATCAAGTTTCATGTGACCACAACTTCATGGTTAACTACGTTAAACCCAAACTGTAACGTGACTGAATGAAATAGAGACTGGAAAACAGAAAGTCCCTCTTCTATCTCAGTAGGGGCATAAAAAGTAGACATGGAAGAATCTTTATATTTCAACAAACCTTTAGCATATTGAACCTGAACATGTTTAGGACATTCTTCATTCCCAGGAGGTCTTGTAATATTGCCTACTCTGTAACTGACCCCTTTCAGATCAGATTCAGTCCAGTCAGACCATTCTGATACCATGCATTTTGGAGTTACTGAAATAAAATTTTACGCATTAAATTATTGAAGTCCTTTGCCAAAAATAGTATTTTAACATTTTTTTTATAAGAAATGATTTTGTCACTGACCAAGGCTCTAATCGTTAGGTATATTAGAGAAGCTATCAATCCTAACACAACGTGACTGTCTAAAATAAACATTTATCAATGGTTTTAACATATTTTTTTTTATTATTATTGCACACTTACTTAGCTCACAGAATTATAAAAAAAACAAACATCAATTGTTTATTTTATTATTGGAAACAGCAGCATCCTGGAATAACAAGATGTAGTATGAGTATAATTGAGTATAATTGCTCACTTAACTATGCTCTTGCTTTTGAGAAAAAGGAAATACATATTTTCAAAATCTAAGTGTAAAAGAGCTAGGAAAGGCAATATGCTGTATACTAGCGATACCCAAGGTGCAGGTGTTCCCCGTTTTTGAACTAGTACATGATTAGATCCTTTATCACAAGTAACAAAATAATCCCAAGTACAACAATTATCAGTTATATTAAAACACTTTTACCAGTATGAAATATAAAATATAACAATTTACTGTCCCTTGATATAATCAAAAGAAAAGTTCTATCATAAATCAGATTTCATTCATAATTCATAATCATATTGAAATTTCATTTTCCATTCCATAAAAATGATTACTATTATTTTTGTTTACAAAAAGCAAATTTAAAATATAGTAAATACCTGTAATGTTCAGATCTTTCTTCCCACCTATAATGGAATAACACAGCAACATAAGAGTATAGTAAAATAGCATTAAATACTTCAAATAGTAAGAAAGCTGCAAATCAGCAGAATTTTACTCAAAAGGAACTGACTTTAAATAAACCTAATAATAACTATAGATTAGGATATTTCACTTTCACAGAGGAAACGCTATACAAAAATTTATGACAAACGAGACAATTTTTCATACTTCAACTCCATTACAGTTATAAAAACTAATGGTATGTGCTTATATTATTGCATTGCACAAGGTCACACTTTTTCAGACTGTTTATGACTTCTTTACACTAAATCCTTTCGATGTGTACTGTTTGTTATTTTAGTCTGGAAAACATGAAAGGGGGCTTACACTAACACTAGCCAAACTTGTAAACCTAATCCTAAATTAAAAATGGTTCCCTATACATTGTACTTGAAACAAATGAATGCTCGAGGAGAGCTACAAAAAGGAATAATGTGGTCTATAAAATAAGAGGCCATATTGACAGATTGGTGGATACTTGTTTTTATCGTGACAATATAAATATTCCAAAAAAATTGTCACTGGAATTTTAGTCGTTTTATTTCCTCCACTTAATTAAAGAATAAAACAAAATGTAATAGAAAAAACTATAAAATTTTCCTACTGTTGGATACCTGTTTTTATCGTGTCGAAATTAATGAAAAAATATATATGTCACTTAATGTTTAGTAATTTTCTTCATTCTATGAACCTATCTCCGTGAATTGATCACGCTTCAAATATTTGTCCCTGGATCTTACACGCATTCAACATGCAACCATTGCAATCAATTAACCGATCTTTTTCCAGTTCTTGGGAATGGAAGAATAGTATTAATCACCTTCATAATTGGTATTATAAAATGTTTCCTTCTTATCACAACGATAAAACTCCTTTGAAACTACATGTCATTTTCGAGATGGAGGGCAGATAAACATCGAATAAAATTTTGCATCACCCCCGTCCCCCTTTTCAAGAGTTTTTGGGGAGAAAAAATATTCTATAACACGTAAATGGCTTTCGATCCTGAATCCCACGGGAACAATTCCTTTAAATGGACATGTATCTGACATACAAATCCAACTGACATCTGCTGCATGTGTTAATTTTCTGGAAATCAGATATAGTATCACGCCACTATTTGATTGACATATTGAAAAGTACAGTAAAGTTTTATTGGTCTGCATTTAACCTTTGACGTGTGTCATAGCCTATTAATGTTACAAATCATATATAGCCACGCTTTACTCATTAATATATTTAATCCACTCAAAGCTATGCTTTTCATGAATTAAATACGTTAATTCATAAAAGGCGTGCTATATATATAACTTAGCAATCATTATCACATCTTATTTTTATAAGGATTCTGCTTTATATCTTTTTCTTTTGCCAGTTTAAGTAAGATAAATCATGATATAATAAACAGCTGCGCCATGAGCGCATGATACGCCCGTCGCTTTTTCAAAGAAAAAAGTTCAATAACTTCTCAATGTCATACCAGAAATCTAAAAAAAACTAAAGGGAGGTTATCTTAATAGATAAAAACCAGACACCAAAGTTTCACGAAAACTGCTCAATGAACTTTAAAGATATTGTCTGAAAAGTGGAAAATCACCCGTTTTTATGAATAAAATCCCAAAACTTGGAAATGCAAACTCTAAAATTTATAAAAATCGAAAGGGACCCTACGTCAATAGATATAAACAATTCACCAAAGATTCATGAAAACTGCTGAAAGCGTTTTTGAGTTATTCTATGAAAACTGGAAAATACCCCTTTTTTTAATGAATAAAACCCCAGAACTCGGAAACGTAAAATCAAAAATTTACAAAAATCAAAAGGGAGCTCATGTCAACAGATATAAACAATTCACCAAAGTTTCTTGCAAATTGGTGAAAGTGTTTTTGAGTTATTGTCCAAAAACTGGAAAATCCCCCTTTTTTAATGAATAAAACCCCCATAACTTGAAAAAAATAAAATCTAAAATTTATAAAAAACGAAAGGGAGCTCATGTCAACAGATATAAACAATTCACCAAAGTTTCATGCAAATTGGTTAAAGTGTTTTTGAGTTATTGTCCGACATGTGGACAATGGACAGACAGACAGACGGACGGACAGACTGACGGACAACGGTATACCATAATACGACCCATAAATGGGCATATAAAAACTTAAAGTGTTAGTTTTGTTAAAATTGTGACAAATTGGAAGATTGTCATAAGACGATTGAGTGGTTTTAATTCTTGTATATAATGTAGTATTATAAACCATATCAGTTATTCACCGTCTAAAAATAATTAACGTTTCTTGACTGCAGTGAAATTAGCTTTCATTAATGTTTAAGATAAAAAATAACACAACTCTTAGTTATCCAGGTTGGCTTAAACATCATAAGAAGCCTTTTATTCAACTAGAAACATTCATAACATTCATTCATGACCTAAACATCATGCCCAACAATGAATGCACTTTAAGAAATATCATACCATGACATGGTTGTGATAAACACAGCACAACAGATGTCAAACAGACATGTTCTCTCTATTTATAAAAGCAGAAGGTTAAAAAATTTCAAACAAAAATATAGCAGTTATCTTAAATCAATATTCAAGTATTCTAAGTTAATTGAATTGTCAGTTAAAGGAGCAGAGGTCTGAGGAAGCTTCATATAACTCATTCTCTTCATCAGACATCAACAATTACAAACTCAACAGGCTATATCTTTTATCAAGGTGTTTGTTTGTTAGAAATCTCATCCACATTTACAGTGAGCTCAACAATAGTTGTCTCTGTTAGCCTACGTATACAGTACTGCAAGACTTCAGCAACACTGTTATTATTGCCAATGAGACAACTCTCCACCAGAGACCAAGCCTACAAATGAATTCACCTCATCAACACTGTTCACGTAAAAAATGAATCAACCTTTAACAGTACAAGTAACGTGTGAGCCTAGACATGACAGCACATATTCTGAATAGTCAGATCACAGCTCTTTTCTGTCATAAATCATTGTCATATATTTAACAATTCTAATTGAGGAATACTTGGTATGTTTCTAAATAACAAGAAGGACGTACTGGTAATATAGTGATAAACTCGTCTGAACATTAAAACAAGCTATTTATATCTGAAACATTTGAAATCTTTTAAAAGAACTAGAGAACAAGCATTCTCAGAGTATTGCATGGCAATACATAATCCCCTACCGGTTAAAAATTCATTGTTCTGGAACAAAATGCTAACTAGATCAATAACTTGTCATGGTGTAAACTATATAACAAATCTCAAGTCAATATCTTCAAGCATGACGAAAAAAGTGTTGAAAACTGATTATTTAAGTGAATTTTCTAAGTCCAAGGACAATAACTCTGCACAAAATCATCAGACCGGAACAAAATTCGAACTAGATCTGTAACTTATCATGATAAAACTATATACTAATTATCAAATCAATATCTCCAAGCATGAGGAACAAAAGTGAGGAAAACTGTTTAATATTTTAGTGAATTTTTTAAGTCCAAGGACCATACCTCTGCACAAAATCATCAGACCGGAACAAAATTCGAAATTGATCTGTAACTTGTCATGATAAAACTATATACCAATTATCAAATCAATATCCTCAAGCATGACGAAAAAAAGTGCGGAAAACTGATTATTTGAGTGAATTTTCTAAATCCAAGGACCATAACTCTGCAGAAAACTGTCCGAAAACTGGAAAATCCCCCTTTTTGTTATGAATAAAACCCCATAAATATATATTCTGAAATTTATAAAAATCAAAAGGGAGCTCATGTTGATAGAAATAAACAATTCACCAAAGTTTCTTGCAAATTGGTGAAATTGTTTTTGAGTTATTGTCTGAAAACTGGAAAATCGCCCCCTTTTTTAATGAATAAAACCCAAAAACTCTGAAACGGTAAATCCGAAATTTATAAAAAACGAAAGGAGGCTCACGTCAATAGATATGAACAATTCACAAAAGTTTCATGGTAATTGGTGAAATTTTTTTTGAGTTATTGTCAGAAAACTGGAAAATACCCCCTTTTTTAATGAACAAAACCCAAAAACTTGGAAACGGAAAATCCGAAATTTATATAAAACGAAGGGGGGGCTCACGTCAATGGATATGAACAATTCCAAAAAGTTTCATGCAAATTGGCGAAATTGTTTTTGAGTTATTGTCCGAAAACTGGAAAATCCCCCCTTTTTTAATGAATAAAAACCCAAAACTCAGAAATGGTAAATCTGAAATTTATAAAAAAAGTAAGGGAGCTCATGTCAATAGATATAAACAATTCCCAAAAGTTTCATGCATATTGGTTAAAGCATTTTTGAATTAATGTCCGACATGTTGACGAAGGATGGACAGACAGACGGACGGAGGGACAGACGGATGGACAGACGATCAGCGGTATACCATAATACGTCCCGTAAACGAGCGTATAAAGACAATTATGATGCAAATTAGAACACTTCTAAGAAGTAATCAGAGTTATTTGATCTAAACATAGGTTATACCAGGGACACAAACATAGGTTATACCAGGGACACACAAACATAGGTTATACCACGGACACACAAACATAGGTTATACCACAGACACACAAACATAGGTTATACCAGGGACACACACAGGTTATACCAGGGACACAAACATAGGTTATACCAGGGACACACAAACATAGGTTATACCACGGACACACAAACATAGGTTATACCACAGACACACAAACATAGGTTATACCAGGGACACACGAACATAGGTTATACCACAGACACACAAACATAGGTTATACCACAGACACACAAACATAGGTTATACCACGGACACACAAAGGTTATACCAGGGACACACACAGGTTATACCAGGGACACACAAACATAGGTTATACCACGGACACACAAACATAGGTTATACCAGGGACACACAAACATAGGTTATACCAGGGACACACATACATAGGTTATACCAC